GTCAAATTAATGACCAGTGTGGATTTAGATTTGAAGAGAGAAAAAAGATTCAATCGGTTGATACTTTAATAAAAATTTAAATATCAGAAACATTTTTTCTTCTCTGTAACAAGAAAGTTTTATATTTGGCTAACTTTGATTACATGTTCCAAGCACCTATGTTGAAGTTTTTATTTAACGTTTGCAATTTAAAACTTTGTTTTCCATATGTACTGATTCTTAGAGGTAAGTTAAATTGTATATATTTTACCGGAAATGATTCATATCAATACCTGTTTTATAAACTAAAATATATCCTTAATCTGAATTACATATAAAGAATAGTTTTCAAGGTTTTTTTTCCGGAGACCAGGGAGTGTGGGGGGGACCCCGGCACCGGGATTCGAACTCGGAACTATTTTTTATCGTTGTCTCATATGTTAGGTAGCCGGGCAACGCCGGTGGTGTGCACACTCGTTAGCCCATTCGGCTACCCCGCCCACGAGTTTTCAGGTTGTTTAATAAAACATATATCACTAATAAAAAAACTGATTCAGTTTTTTATTTCCTTTATTTCGTTCGGCGGTCTATCTTAGCTCTCCTTAAAAATATAAACCGAAAATGAGAGCAAGAAAACATATTATCTAAGGTGCCGTAGGACCTCCTTAAATAAATTATGCAGAGCCCTGATGCCCTTTTCAAAATCTTTAAAACATTTTATTCTTTCAATATTTTTAAAATTCATTTCATCTCGATACGTCGATCAGCTACGTCAACTTTTGATACCACCTGAGTTTTAAAACCTCCAATTTTTTTCAGTGGTTTTATTCTAGTTGTTGAAAGGTTTTTAAGTTTTGAAATTGCCATTCGTCCCTTCTCCATGAAATTCTGTTTAGTTTGATATTTCATTAATCAAAATTCATTGCTCTTAAAAGGCGGAAAAGAAATTTATATTAAAATATTATATATAGTGTAGATTCTATTTTTTCTTTTCTATACGAATATGTTTATTGAAAGAATTAAAGTCCTTTCCTCTGATGGAAACCACCTATCTGTACTACTTTGTGGTTCTCCGAGCCTCAAGGACTCTGATGATTCCTTGACCGCCTTCGGTTCATCCCGCCAAGGAGAGCGGGAGTGCTTCTAGCTGTACGCTTAAGTTCAACAGGTACAACCTTATAAATTTGTAACGTTTTCCCAAGTACTGGTTACATGCTACTAGCCAAACGATTATTTTTTCCTTCTTGAATATTCGCTTAGATTAATTAGATTTTAAAATAAAATTTAAATTCAACAATATTATTCTTACAACTAGTTATTTAAAAGAATGAATACCAGTGAGAACGGCTCTTATAACATAAGAGACAAGTTGCATTCTAGTTTTCCTTACGTTACCAACTACTCCGTAAATGTGCTCCTGTTCGTGATAAACTACATTCCTATAACAAATCCTTTTATTCCTGTTCTTGCTCCAGTAACCATTTATTACAACACTCGGAGTATCTGGAATTGAGTCAATAACTAGATAAGGCATGATCGGTTCGTCATTAGATTGATTCTTCTAATAGTGTCAGGATTAGAGTGCTACCAGTGGGTAGTTTCTCAACAAGCGTGTTTCATGTAATAATATTTCTCTGTACAAATTTACTTGATGTATTCATACTAATACAGTTGTAAATATCATAATAAAAGTTTAAAAAAAAAAATAGTGTCAGGAATGCTAGAGGATATATATTTTAAGTTGTATTATATTATTCGATATTACTATAAAACTGCTACAAAATAAATTATAGTGGATCGAACTCATTTTCATTAGAAATTATGGTAGATAAATTTTAAATCATTGTTCCTCCGATTTTGTTGATTATTTGATTTAATGACATGATGCTAGTCACTAAAGATTCCTGTGTGATCGGTGGCTATTAAAAACGTATAGCTTTAAGTATGGTGGTATAGCTTCCTCATCATTTTTTTTTTATGAAACATAAGTAAACAAATTCAATATTTTATTTCGTCTTTATTAGGAAAATTGATTTCCCTCTTTAAGACCTGCCATTTAACATAAACTATTTCGGGTATATATTTGTCCCTTATGTATCTGGTTGTATTGAAAACTATTAAAGTATTAACTGTTAGTACTCACTGGGTGTGGAATTTAATGCTCTAAAACTTTTATTCTATGATTTTTTTTCTCTTAGAAAATTCATTTCCCAGCTGCAGCGCCTTTTATAGTAAATTGTATCAGTTTTTGATGAATTGAGTAAAAATCAGTGTTGGTTGGCCGTGGTTTTCGAATTATTAAGTTAAGGTATTCATTCGACGCATAATTTGACGTTCTTTAATTTCTTGTAGAATGCGGTTTTCTTTTTGAAGCATCATTTAGGGGTTATTGCAGAAAATTTAAAAAAAGATCGAAAAAATCTGGCTTTTTTAGTGTAAAAAGTTTTGCCTTGGTTGCCCGCGTTAGCAATTTAGTTTTTACATGTCTGAACCCATATATACAAGTTGAAAAATAAAACGTTTTCTCAAATTTTTCGCAATGTATTTTCCGTTTCGATCCTCAATTCACTGGCCTAATATTCTTTAAGTCAGGCGTCATTTTTACTGGTGGCAAGATTCTACTGGCAGATTCTGATTTCATATAAATGTTATAAATATTCAAAGAAATGCTTTCAAATTTTTCATCAAATAATGTCTCTAGGACTAACTAGTTTCATCATCATTTCCAATCTTATCTTATTCCCATATATCTACAATTTTTCTTCTATTTTTAAGGTGCAAATCTATTGTTGAAACATTGCATATAAATTTGATTAGTATATAATTATTTGCTGATATACCGAACGGCTTGCCTGGTGCACTGGACTTCTTGATAATCACGAATACTTACCTACCATTAACTTTCACAAGACAAGCTGTCCTTGAGAAATTGAACGTTAGCGTGTTTGCAACAACAATCTGTCACCGATATCTGTGTAAATTATACTGGATATTATTCATTTATGGATTGAAATAAAATTCAAGTTCTTACAAAATTGAAGAAAAAAAAGTGCATACTTTTTAAAATGTTAGCTTTAACCCATTTTAAAAACCAATACTTTTATTAAATGGGCCGATTCAGGCTAAGTGTTAATTATGATATGTATGAAAGACGTGTGTGAAAATTCACAAAATACTCGCATTTTTCAAGCATTTTTCGGATGATGCATGATGTAGAATGAAGAGATAAAGAACATTGTATATTACTAAAGTACATTGTTACTTATTTCTTTTATAACCACCTTTTGTTTTTCTCCTCTACCTCGCCTTTTGACTGAACATTTTTTCCCCCGGATCAGGTGAGAGGACGGGGATTAGTGCCAAAGTTACATGTCCCTTGCTCCGAGACTCGAATTCGTAATCTTCAAATTATCATTTTATCAGGCAACGCATGCATTGTAAACGCGTTAACCCGCTCGGCCACCCCGTTCTCCATTGTTCTTACCTCTAGCGAAGGTTATGAAAGATCCAATAACCTTGTACATCGTAAGTGGCATCAATTGTTGGTAGAAGGATTTTTTTTTCTTGCATAAAATTTGACTGATATGAAAAATCCAAATTTTCGATTTTGGCAGTCCCCTTGAATCACTTTTGAATATCCCGAAAATTGTTATATTTTCGCACTTTTGACCATGACGGAGCAGGTTATAGACAAAAACCATTTTATACATATTTAACTAGATTAAATTTAGTACAATGTGAGACCAGAATAGACTCGGTGAAGCTAAAAGATTTTGAACTACAGCTTTTTAAAAATTTGGAAAATTGTCTTCTTTTCCTCTCTCCTTATGCCTCTCAGGGTGGAGGTATTATCTTTCCCAATAGTCATGTTTTAAAATCCGCCAATCCGCCTTCTTCAGTGCCTTTTATCGTCCTGGACTTACTGAAAATATTTATTTGTTGAATATCCCATGGTAAAGCCTTGCAGAGAATTCCTAATATAATATAATATTAATTGATGCCATGAAGGTGGACCAATACAAACTCAACATTACGAATAGCTGAGTTAATGGGACTCTATTGGTATTTTTCCCCATTTTTGAACTATGTAAAAGTGCTTGCAGTAATTTTCCCCATTCACTTTAAAAATTAGTAAGGACAGCACGTTCGCATTCGACCTGTAGCAGACAATACACACTGCTCTACGTGGTTTCATTATTTCCAAGGATCGGTATCATGATCGGAAGTACCAACAGCTTCGACCCAACCTCGAGGTCTTTCGTCGGAGAATCTCGTCATTACTCGACCTCTGTAATGTTCGCCTTGAATTGCCTCTGGAGTTTAAATTGCCGTAATTTCCTTTCGATATTTTTTATTAAATCCTAGATCACTGGTTCAAGGCGACCTAGATCAGATTCCTATATAATTTATAAATAGGTTTTACATTTACAAGGTTTGTATTCATTAAATCAAGATAGAATAAATAATGTTTAATTTATAAATTCAGACATTTGGAATGTCAAAAAAAAATACATAAAGATATATCTGGCAGTATCTGATCAAATTTGTTGTCATTTTATACCTGTTAAATAGCATTCATTAATTTTAAAATTCTATATTTTAAATGCCTTTTCTGTAACATAAATATTCGAGCTGCCTTTAATGCAAGCAACTATATAAAAAAAAAGTGATTGCTTAGCTCTAACCTTTAAATCACAGAATATGCTTGAAAACTATAAGTGAAACTTGATATTTCAACAAATGATTGAATTTCGAGTTAAAACAAGTAGGTGATAATTTGAACTTTTATTTAATCTACTCTATGTATATTGTTGGTTCTTTCTGTAAATCTTGATTTCAGTCTATTAGGTAGTCTCTTGGTAATTATACTTACTTTTGTGGTTGTGGATAATGGATAAAAAATATATTTATATTTAAAAATGCAGCTTTAAATATAATGAATTCCTTCCTTTTAATTGATTTAATCAATTTATTATATTTACTGGTTGAAATGAATGAAATGTATATTAATTGTGTTTCAGCCTCATATGTTGGAAAGGGATGCTCCAGAAATGATCCCAATATCAATGAGTGTGTCATCAGAGTGGGTGCACCTGCCATCAAAAAAGTTACTCAGGGTAAATATGATAAACCGAAAAAGGGATAGTTAGTCATAAAATACTATCTTTGTTGTTTAAGGCATTTTTTTATTATATTGGCAATAATATAACGTTTAATGTACACATAATAGGAAAATCCAGACATAAACAAAAATTAATATTCTACTTACTCTAACAAAAAAACTTTTTCAAATAATTATAAGCTTCCCTTTAATGTGATAAACAATAATTTTATTATTTTTTATTAATATTTTATTATTTTCATAAATTGAGTGGATTATCTCAGGTTATCTTAGGGAGGCCTTGTGCTTCTCTCCTCATAGGTTTGGGTTTGAATCCATCTGTGGCAGATATTTATTTTATTTTGCTATATCAGATGTGCATCAACTCAGGTGTGAAATAACCCTCCTGGCCTCTATAAATTTGTTACTTTTAATTGGAAAAAAACCAATTAAAGTGGTTGAATGTGATGATGGGTTTAATACTTCCTTTTAAAGTATTAACTATATTATAGTTTTAGTATTACAGAAAAAAAAAAAAATACTATCTTAATTTTAATTTTGTTTTCTATTATTGAGATTCTATTTTTTCATTTTCATTTCCATTTATACTTAAGGAAATTTTCAGGAAATTCACAAATGAATTATGATATAATGATGTAGAGATTGTTGACTGTGATATAATATGAGAAGGAGTTGATCAGGGGGGTGCGGTCAAATAAATACTAAATTATAAAAATAGTATTATTTAATTTTTTTGCCGTTTCGATCCACTTTGCAGGTCTTCATCAGGGCTACAAAAGATACGAAATATAAAAGGTACATGGTGAAAATAAAATAAATGAATATAACTAGATATAAAATAAGATGAAGTTGTCTGATAAAGAAATAAAAAGATGATATCAGAGATATAGTGGTTGACCATGTAATTAAAATATCAAATATTATATATATAGAATTTATATAAGTATTAATTACATTATATTTAAGTCAAGTATTATATATATATTTATATGATATTTTAACTACATTGTCACCCACTATATTTCTGATATCATCTTTTTATTTCTTTATCAGACAATTTCTTCTTATTTTATATCTACTTTTATTCATTTATTTTATTTTCACCATGTACCTTTTAAAAGGTACAATAAAATAAAAGACCTTTGTATCTTTTTTAGCCCTGATGAAGACCAGCAAAGAGGGTCGGAACGTCGGCAAAAAAATTAAATAATACTATTTCTATAATTTAGTATTTACTTGACCGCACCCCCCCTCCCCCCGATCAACTCCTTCTCGAATTATGATGTAATTTATTGATATTGGTATATGTATATATAAATTCAGTTGTGCCAAAACTACAATAGTTATGTTTCAATCATTAAATTTAAAAGTGTCTGGGTGCTAGAGGGGTAACAGAATTTCTGATATTAATAACTCTATACCCTTTCTTTAATTTTTAATCTTTAAAATTAATCTTTTTAAATAGTTAGTGACCTGTACAGTAGTTTACACTCTGAGCCTGCTGATAATTCCTTCCTTGTGTTGCATAGTTTGGTTTTAATGCATGCATTGTGCTTGCATACATTATAAGAGTAGTTAATTTTTTTATGATTATACAGCTAAACTAGCAGTAAGTATCAAACATTCACATATTAAATAAAACTTTATAATTGTTTGTATTGAAGTGATTAAAATTTGATAGGTGATCCTAAATACCGAATCCCCAAATTGGACCCATTAGTGGTTGATGAGATTAAAGTACAGCAGGGCACAAGGCAAGTGGGACTGTCCCTTAGCTGCAAAAAGTGCCTCCTTCATGGCCTTCAAAACACTAAATTTATCCGAGCAAAGTAAGTTTTAATTTAAATTAATTTATAATACATAAAGGTATAGTTTTATGGTAGTAACAACTCATTATTTATAAGTATAATTTTATCATTATATTTTTATTGGTTATTTTCAAAAATAAAATAATTTAAAACAAGCAAAAGTTCTTGTTGGTAGATATTAGTTCATTTCTCTTAATAAATAAATATATAACAGATTCAATTCCTTACATTTGCTTGAACTTGAAAAGAGATCATTATTTATCATTTATTATGTGAGCTCATAGCCCAGGGACTTTAGATTTTTACTTTCACTTAACTATACATGAAATATATAGTAAGGAACAATATTGCTATCGTGAAAATTTTAGAATCTGAGTTTTCAACAGAAATACATGTTTTGAGGCTCCCCGAGTCCAAATAACCAAGTCCTGCAAAATGGTCTATGTGTGTGTGTGTGTGTGTGTGAAATATAAATAATAAATAAAATATAAACAATAGTTTCTGAAAAATAACATTATTAAACGTAAATCACATGTTTCCAAGTAAATGAAATGAAATTTTCTTACTAAATGTAAACTTTTAAATTTTTTTTAAAGTTTGAAAAAAGTGTTTAAAATCCACCAAATCAAGGCAATGCCATCGTTAAAAATACTATTTCATTATCCTTATGTGAAAGAAGTGAAATATAAAAATATTTCATGGATGTATAAAGCATTTATAACCTTAAATACATTTACTATCGTTTAATAACTCCAGATCTGATATTATATTTAAATAATTAGGTGTCTATCGTCTGTTTATTCCAAAAAATCATCATGTAACCTTTTCAAAAATTATATTAGTGAATAATTTCATGAATTGGGAATCTGTTCAATTTCAGTGAAATCCCAACATTATTCAGTTACAATTAGTGTGATAAGTTTTGAACTATTTATGACATGCAAAGAAAATCTTGTAGTTTCATTTTAGTAAACTTCACAATGAAAAATAAGTGTAATAATTAATAGTTCTACAATCCATAATCAGTTATAGATTAAATATACAAATATACTTTCAAATCTCTAGACGCATATATGAGCCTTCTTTCTGTTGACACAATGACTAACTCCAATTTCAACATTTTTATTATTATTTTTAGTGATATTTCTATTGAAAAAATCTATACCTTTATTCACAGTTCTATATTTCAACACTGCAATCATATACTCTGGAATCGACTTACTCTCTGTCTGAACAATATTATAAATTTTACAACTATAAATATCACTAAAATGACATTACAGCTTTAGCACCATTTATATGCACCTACAAAATTTTATAATAACCCATCATTGCGAGAAAATAATTTCTTTTCAAATTAGAGGGGTAACTGAAAGTTGTGTGTTGTGCGCACCAGATTTTTTTTACTATAATGATAGTTTTTGTAATTATATATTTCATTTAACTACAAATATATAATAATTTTTAACTTACCTAATATCCAAGATCATTCCTTTCTTGGAATCGTTCTGTAGTTCTAGAGATCTATTTAGTAATTATGACAAAGTAGTTTCAGTGTTTAATGTCATACCATATTTAATTGATGCCACCAAGGAGAGGTTTAGTTGTATAAATGATGGGTGTAATTCTGCTGAATAAATAATTTAAAATTCTCTTCAATAATTTGAAATTTATTTTAGGGTTGATTGGGACAAGCGAACCTGTGATTGGTTCCTGACCCTTGACAAGATGAGGATCAATGGTAAATACAATGTTTCTGGTCAAGTTCTTCTCCTTCCCATAGTTGGCAATGGAGACATGGAAATGGAATTGCGTAAGTACTAATAGCGAAGTTGACTGTTAACCACAATGGTTTCAACCAGTGTAAGAATATTAGATTTCCACTGTTTTTTCTGGGGTTAGCTAAATAAGCCTAATTGACCCCGTTAATATTTATATCATTATCCATTAAATAATATCAGTGACTTTCTCTGTGATTTTATGACAGAAGTTGTGAAGCTGCTGTATGTAATGGTTCATATAGTAATTTTAAAAATTAGTATAATACGAAAATTAACAATAACACTCTTAAGAAAATTTTAAATACATTATTTTAATTGAGAACCTTTCTGCCATAAATGGGCATCTCTACTTTGGCTGAAATTGAAATGTCAATTATCTCTGATAGGTTTACAAAATTGTATGTATCAAATGATATGAAGTAAATGAATAATAGTATTGCATATTCAAATATCCTTTATTGGTTTATATTTATTTGTTTTAATATAATTAATATTTTTGGATAATTATCCTCAATAATTGAAGAGCTTCGGATAAAAACATGGCAAGCCACAATTTTGAAGAAAATGAATCATTTGTGCGAAATGCGGCTTATGGTGTTGTTAATTTACCAGCATATAGAAGGACTAGGCAACAAATCATGTTATTTCTTTGAGACATTTAAACTATTTTTGATGAAGAACGCCCAAGCCAAATCCAAAGATGGCGGACAGTAGATACTAGGATAAAATGTGATGATCCTTCTTCAGATATTGATTATCCTGATCAACATTCAATAAAGAATAATTTGTAACTTGTCCCTTTATTGCTGCAAATGTTTTTTACTAATTATTAGTAGTAAAACTATTAATGTAAAATGTATTTCTTTTCTAGTCGTTTTCTATAATAACTGACCAGAACAGAAAAAAAAAACTGAGCCATGCTGACTCTTTGGCTGCAATACATCAAAGAGTATATGTTCTTCTTCACCAAAGTACCATGTTAACTGATATGATTTCTTATTTTTTAATAACAGAAATAATAGAGGTTCAGATGCCATGAGATCAAGATTAGTAAAATGCCAGGAAAAAAGTTAGCACATATTTTTCTTCTGGAATGCCTCTATAGTGGTTATTGAAAGAAAATATAACAAGAAAAACTGTTGTATGTTAAAATTGTGATATAAAACAATATTTAAACAGATAATACTAAAACAATATTTTAGAATCAATACCAAAAAAACAGTTTGCATGGCAGCAGTTGGATTTGCATCAGCTGTAGAGGGTGTCACAAAATGTGAGACTTTTCTACTAAAACCAATTTTTTTTTTTCAAATTACTGAAATTGTAATGAAAAAAAAACTAAAAAAATTTGAAACAACACATTTTACATTTATATTATGAAATATGAACTGTAAAACATTTGATAAAAATTTTAAAAGTAAGAAACTGCCATACTGAAAAATGTACATAATGTGGCTTATCATATTCTAAGCCCCTTCAATTATCCAGGTTTTTATTTGTAACATCAAAATTTCTGGATAATTATCATCAATAATTGTCCAGTGCCACCCCAAATAAATATGCTTTAGAACATAGTAACTTTATACTAGCTTCATAAATCTTATATAATAAATCATTTAATAATGTTTCAGTCGTAACCTTAGGTTACAATAAAATTTTAAAATCATTGAGAAAGTGGAAAGGTTAAAGAAAGTTTCCTATACTTTTTTTTCATGTTAATTATCTAATGGTGTAGCTTATAATTTTAAAAAAACAAAAAATATTATAAAGAATAATACTTGGTTTGTATGTTTTATGTTTCATACTTTATTGACATTGCAGGAGACCTGAAGTTCGAGTACAAATATGATTGGTATTATGAGAAGAAGGATAATGGTCTGGTCTATGTTGTTATTGACAACAGCACATTCCCATTTGATGTTAATTTTATGACTATTTCTTTGGAAAACCTGTTTAACGGAGATAAGCTTCTAGGTATTTCTAATTTAAAAACACCTATTAATATAAACAACATTTTAAAGATATTTACTGTCTTATGGATGTTTCATTATGATTATGAGTTGGGCCCAGGTTCGAAAATCTAAATTCTCCTAGGAATAGATCGTAAAAGTCAAATTTTTTTTTTAATAAAGATCTTTAACCAATTATTAAAAATGGTATATATTATATAATAATATTTGTAGAGTAACTCACAGTCAGAATTTTAAACACTGAGAATCAGTCAGCAACTAACACTGCTATATACAAAAATACCAACCACTCTTTCACAAAAGAAAAAACTTCAAAGGGATTAATTATTTTAAAAAATAAAAATTGAATCAAATGAAACTTCGTGTGTAAACAGCAAACTTCCTCAGACTCATAACGCAGGTCTTCCATTTTCTTGGATATTTTTTCTAGATATACATCCATATATCAAATATTGGAATATTATGAGTGTTTTGTTCCTGTTTTTTTATTAAATAGATATAGTTATATATTTATTTCAGCATAAAATCATAAACAATAATTCATGAATATTAAATTGAATCAAACTCAAAATGTAGACTCCAGAATAGATCTCTTTTTTGCAAGAAATTACAAAACTGGTTTGTTTTTTACAAAAAAAAATCTGGTTTTGTTTAAAATTCCAAAAGAAATATCTAATTCCAAAATAGATCGAAAAAAGATCCTATAGGATTTTGTATTTGAAATCTGCAATCAAAGATTGGCATAGATCTGTTGAGAATTCTATTTTCCCTTGAACAGAAAAAAAAAATAATAAATCCTTCGAATCCGAGCCCTAATTATGAATAAAATATAAATCATGTATAGTTTGGTCCTTATTTTTTTACCATTCTAAATAATGTGAAGAAAAGTATGTGGGATTTATAACACATTGGTTCAAGCTCATTAACATAGATTTCTGATATGTGAAAGTGCTTTGTATTTCAAATGATCTTTTATTTCTGATTTCTTTTATAAATGTTCAAAAAACATTTTTAGCATCTATTTATTTCCTAGCATCTAAAGTATTTCCTATCAATTTTTGTATTTATTTCACTTAATTGAAGTCATCAAATTTACATAATTGGTTGTTTCTCTTTTAAAATTAATTTTCATAAATAAACGGTTATTTCTCTTTTTTAAATAAATTCTACTTTATTTCAGTTGTGAAAAATTAGTCATGTATGAACATAGTTCGATTATACATTTTTTTTTGTATTAATTATTTAAATTATAGTATTAAAAAAAGTTTTTGTTCATCCCTAAAAACACAACCATTGCTATCTTCACATATCTTTTTTTCTATTTTAAAAGATAACAGTGTTTACTGAAATTTATTGTTTGGATTAAAGTTATTTGGATCATCCAAACTTTTCCAGAATTTCAAAGCTATTGTGTTGTCCACTTTATTTAGAATCATACGAACTAAACATTTAGAAAAAATTTACAATAAGTGGGCTTGTAGTTTTCTGATAATTTATCATGCATTTTCATAAGTAATTTAAGTTTTGATGAATGTTTTTTCTAATTAAAATATTATTCTTGAGATATGCAAATCAGATTTTGATCTCAAAGTTCTTTAGTTTTTGTTAGTGGATGTGTTCAGCTTTAATTTGTAATTTTGATCTCTTCTTTTCTGCAAACAGGAGGAAACATGAACACATTCTTGAATGAAAACTGGAGAGAAATCCTTAAAGATTTACGTCCTGCACTTAGCAAGAGTCTTGCTGCACTTACCAAGTCTATTCTTCAAAATATGGCTAATGTTGTACCATATGATGTAATGTTCCCTGAGAAATATCCTCTGTAACAATTCACTATGTATAAAGAGATAAGCCCAACATTTGGATATTAAACAAATATAAATTAAATTTAGATTTGATTAATTCAATAAGTAAATCAAACAGTATAGAAGATACTACCATAACAAAAAACTTAATTTATGGTTTGATCTTAATATTGGTTTGAGATTGAGCACCTATTATGCTCTTCGAGCAATAGACGAAAATCCTAAACTGTCAATTTCATTTCTGGATAGTTAAATAGCTTAGAGATTTAGACAGCCAAGAAATATTCACGGTTAAAATAGAAAAAAAAATAAAATAAACCTAAGGCTTATATTTCTTGTAATAATATTAAATAAATGCTTTAAAATTGTAAATATATCGATGGCCTCACAAGATCACCTCAAAAATGACTTTATAGCTGTTGTATTTTCTAACTGTTTGAATGAAAAAATCTTTTATGATAGTTAAGGCATAAATTGATTTTAAGTTTACTTAGCAATGAATTTCTAGTAAATTTTAAACCCAGAGATCACATGTAAGAGGGTTTCATAGAAATTGTCGAAAGAAAGGATCGACAGAAAAAAGTCAATCTTGTGAGTCAATTGATGTATCTCTTAATGGATTAAATTATTGTTGTATATTGATGCTGAAAATTGCTGGAGGAGGTCCTTGCTTACTAAGTGTGTTGACTTGCAGTTGATTATTATAATAGTTGTATATTGCTCAATATTATTTTTATATTTTGTGAGTGTGAATACATTATTATTCTGTAATTTCATAAAGTTATATTTTAGTTAGAATCATATTTACTTTTTTTTTAATCATAAATTTTTATCTCCTTATGACACATATGTATTTGTATATTAATTTTGTCATTTCAAATTTTTATCTCCTTATGACACATATGTATTTGTATATTAATTTTGTCATTTCACCATTTCAAGAAAATAATTGATTTCTGAGAGTTAATATTTTTAATTTTATTTTTTTGTAAATTACTTTTTTCTGTCTTTTCAAAGATATTGTAAAGGTAGGACTATTTTATAATGTCAAAATAAATGTTTGTTTGTTTATGTATTGTTCTTTGTGATGATGATATTAACATGTGTACTAGTAAATAACTGGTTTTATTTAAATGTTAAAAGTAATTTTACATATTGGTAAAATAAGTGATAATTTCATTGTGATATAGTGAAGTTCTTTTTATTTTTTTTTAATTAAAATATTTTGTATGTTCATTCTGATAACAATAATAAGTTGTTATTGTTATTAACAATAAAAGAAATTTGCTTTAAAAATCTGGTTTTTTTTTTCAATATTTTACCTATTTTTATTAGTTAATTATGATTTAAGTATAAGTGATAAAGGATTAATTATATATATATATATATTAAATTACAAATTACTTTTTAGCAATTAACATTAATTTAAAAAATCATACAATAAAAAATAAAACACAAAGAGGTAATCCAGTTGATATTATTAGGGAGAAAATAATTGAAACTTGCTGTTTCAAAATATGTTTCAATATAAAACATCATACACACGTTATCATTCAATGCATTATCAATAGATAAAATTAGTAAAAACTAAGTTGATGATTTCTTTTTTTTTTTTTTCCTCTCTCCTTCCTTGCCTCTTAGGCTATATGCCATTTTTCCCAGGCCAGAGTTAAAAGTCCCTCTCCCTTTCCCTCTCCTCCCCCGTCACCTGGACCCAAAATCGTAATTATTGTATCTCGTTAAACTTCAGTTAATCAAATTTGCGGGCAATCCGCTAAATGCAGGGTTTTAACATTAAACTGTTTAAATTTAAATTACATTTAATAGATTAAAGCATCCGTACTTTCATTAAAGGTGAGTAAACATTAAAGCTAATTACATTGAAATATTTAAATATCAACTTTAAAATGTACTCCAATCTTTCAATTTTCATTAGTGAAATGAGAGTTTTTAATTTTAAAACTCTGTATTTCCTCATGCCTTCACAGAAGACTGGCAAGAAACTAAAAAGTAAATAAATACAAGTATGGAGCCATTAGATTGATTAATGAAGGGTCAGAAGGTAAATTAAAATGTTTCTTATATTTTTAAATAAACCTTAAGATCTTTAGGGCTTAAGAACAAATATTTTTAAAAGTCAAATATCCCTAAAAATTCCTTGCACCTTGGGGAAATAAACATACAAAGCCCTAAGACTGAATAATGAATATATAAATCAAAATGTGAAAATTAGGAACAATACATCAAGGTTTAGAGGATAGACCAAGAAGTAGATAGGGGTTTATTGGACTGATCCAATAAATTTGAGTTATTCAATGTTTGTAGGTATGGTATCAAACTGTTCACCACTGCTCATCCCCACCCCAAGAGTGATGGCACATGCTGTTTCCAAGAAAATTTTCTGCTCTCCCCTTCTTAAATATTGAAAGAAGAATGATAAAAATTGTGGTTTACGTTTTTTTCCCTAGTTACCTGATATTCATCCAAATTGAAACTTCCCAAAATATGATCCCTTACAAAAAATTAAAAATCTTATATAAATATGCCCTCTTAAAAATTTTAATGACGGAACTTATGGCATGTAACCCCTTTCTGAGAACCTCTGAACAGTAGCACATCAAGGATTTAATTTTAGTGGGAGAGGTTTCAGCCGGAAAGCTTTTTATTCATATATATATATATATGAATATATATATATATATATATATATATATATATATATATATATATATATATATATATATATATATATATATATATATATATATATATATATATATATATATATATATATAACGATAACAGATTATATTTTATCATTTTTGGGGAGGCTTCAGCCCAAAAGCCTACCGTAGGTCGTAGGCTCGTGTCTCTGTACATATCATTTCATATTATTTAATACGGTAAATCGTGTGAGATACTTTAGCAGAAATTGATAAAGCCTTTGTGCACTGCGTTGAAATCATCTCTCTTTGTACAATGATTGAAATGGTAATGACGACCTGAAGATAATTGATAATTGAGGCAGATACGGAACTCCTGACTCAAGAAAAGCAATTGGTATTCCGCAGCGATATAGGAAGTATGACTAACTTAGGAATGGTTCCATCGCTCTGGAATAACTATGGGGAAGGTCGTTACAAACATCAGGAAAAACTTAAGTATCTGTTGATGGGAACAAAACGTAATGGAAATCGTCGAATACTCTTCCTATCCGTCTACACATTCACTGCATCAAACTACGCTTAACCTTTTATTTTCGACTTTTCGAAACATATTACAGTTATACTATAATAATTGCAATACTAATTTATACTTTCGGAAAAAATTCAATTTTCTACTGAATAAAAACAAATTAAAAAGTGATATAAGCACTCCAGTTTCTTGGAGGGAGGAGGGAGGAAAATTTGCTATATATCCTGGTTGTGTTATCACATTTTTTATTAATCTTAGTTTTATCCAACAAATCTTTGTCATTATAAAATCTACAATTTTGTTTTCGAAATTATTAATGAAAAATATATCGATCTTTTGCCAGAAATGTTTCTTAAACAATAATTGGAACGGGGGAGCATAAGAATTTAAATTTCAAAGCACGATTTTTAAGTATCGTGTCTTGAAATATACATTTAAAGATTTAGCTAAAGATGAAACTCTTTTGTGGTTATAATTCATTCTCTTTGAGGAAATGTCTATCAATCTTACTCTCTGTAGATAGGTTTGAAGTTAAAGATATAAGAGTATGAAAGTAATACGTACTTCTCAAGTACATTTAGTTATTGCAGATAATCACAGGCGGATCTACGGAGGGGAGGAGGAGGGGGAGGGCTTTCGGGTTGAAGACCTTCCAAAAAATGGTAAAATATCACCATGTTTTAAGAAAAAAAAAGATAAAAAAATTATCTTTAAAACTATCATTGTTCATGTAATTACATTCAATAGGACTTCAAGAATCTCTTAAACACCATTTCGTATAGGTAGTTAGTTTCTTTCTTTTTCTTCCAAAGTAACTATCGTTAAATTAAAAAAGTTTTCGGACTGAAGCCTCCCAAAATGAAATCATGGATCCGCTAGTACTGATAACTTCCAAATACGATATTTTTAATCAAGGTTCCCATCTTCCAAAGAAGCAATATGTGTACGAAAACGCGATCATGAATGCTTCTAAAGGAGAGATAAATATCATTAACATTAATTAACTTTATTGATTGAATAAATGTCAATACAATAAAAAAGCAGAAAAGAATATTTCCTCTAAATTCTGCCGTCCAGAGCAAATACTAGAGTCGTTGCGATAACATCGATATTCCAATATTGTATCAAAAGTAATGATTCGACATTATCGCAACATTGAAAAAAATCCAATATCGGATCACAATAATTTTTTTATTCATTCAAATAATTTTAAATCAATTTAATATTTAAAAAATTTGAAATGAGTGGATTTCAAATCTTTCTTTATCAAATATTTTTTAATAATTTTTTATCCATTGAAATACTAAACCTTAAATATCTCTATGTATTAAAAAGTGGAGTTGCAATACTATCAAAGAAAACAGCTCATGACGGTGGCTCATTTATTACAAAAAGTCACTAACTTTGTTTCTGATGGATCTGAACTTATAAGAACATTTTTCGAACTAATCTCTCGATGAAAAACAACGTAAGTGAATAAAAAGGAGACAGACCTTTATACAGGGTGTTTTAGGGTTTAGTTGCCAAACTGCAAACATGAACTAAGGACCTAAGAACTAGAAAAAAAATTTCTTCTGTAGGTATGTCCGCAAACGCTTTGTTCAGGAGATATTCACATCTAAAGATCTTCGTAGTTATGAATTATTTACGTTATATTAAGCAAACAAAACCTATTTATTTGTTCTAACTACTTTATTAATTAAATGTAAACATTAACATGCATATTAAATGTTGTTCAAAGTTATTTCCCTGAGCATTAAGACATGCTCGGCATCTTTCTTCAACAGCTGCAGTGGCAGAAGGGAACTGGATATGAAAATGAATGA